TCGCTAACATATTACGAACCTTTAGTGCTTTAGTGGTTAAAAATGGAAGATATCTTTTTTGGTTGATATGATCGAACATTTCACTCTCGTGGTTTGAATTTCTTGACTATCAAAGTTCTTGAATTGCAAAGGCGTGGTTGAATAGATGACTGGTAACCAAAATGGGGAGCGCTCTTTTAAATTTGTAAAAGTGGCACCCTGTACTCGGACAAGATATAGTAGATAAGAGTTAAAGAAAAAAGAAACACCAACAACAACCTGGCTCGTCAGTTCCGTCTGAACATCGCGAAATTATTGCACGGCTTCATGAGAAAAATAACAATAACAACAACAACAACAACAAACATCCAGCCAATATTTCAATCAACCAGTGAAAAGTCCCAAGGGTACTGTGCTAACGTAACTTTGAATAAATAAAGTCAGGTTACAGTTTAAGATTCATATTGCGAGCAACAGAGAACCTGCGAGGACTCAAACCCATTCCGTTCGTCTCGTGGTCCAAAACACCGTTCTTTTGGGCGACGCCTCCTTAATACATGAATATGTAAAAATTCAATTACCTTTATAGCAAAGCAGACGATTCTACCATCTCTCAGGCCTTTCAGATATTCAATAAGAAAACCGCTGTCCGCGTCAGATTCATAAGTATCAAACCATCGTGATGACATCACAACGCCTGTCACTTCATTTAAGACTACTACGTTCAGTCCTCTTATTAACATTTCGGATGTGTCCCACCTCTGTCAAGAAAAAGTGCATTAAAACGGTAACTAAGCTGACTCGCCTTCCTGATGAAATGTTTAGAAAAGTTAACTGACCTTTCCAAGTTAAATGGTGGACAAAAATTTATAAAGTATTTTTCTGTTGTCGAGAAAGAGTATCTTCCACCCTTACTCCCACATTTGAGGTCCCTCATCTCCTAAATATAAAGTATTTTCCAAGCTATCCATATACAACCTTACCAGCTGGGTAAAAAAAATTCAGCCATATAATCATGGAGAAGAAGCATCACATTGGCATTCTTATCTTAGCTGTATGTAACAAGTTTGGCACCATGGACCTAATTTAACGGCCTGGCCTACCACAACTCTCGTATGGCTTAGTGGTTAAGCATCTGAAGTACTAATCTTAAGGTCGAAAAGAAACAAAACAAAACAAAGCCCCATGGGGTTAGAAATTGGTTTGCATTACGCATTAACCTTTTCATTCCCCCCTCCCACTCTCCCACCCCACACTGGTCAAAATTTAACAAAGGTGTATTGTTGGAGGTCAGCAAAAAATATATTGAATTAAATTTCAATACTCACACTTTGTCCGTTTATCGTCAACGTGACATTTTCCTTACTGGACAACACTGCTAATTCCAAGAAATTGCCTTCTACAAAATGAAGAGTAAGTACAACTTAAAAGACACCACTAACCTCAGCAAGTAATTGTGCGTACAAAATAGCTATCCTTCTTTTCACTAGGCGTGCGCAAGATGGCGAGAATCATGCGCACAAAGAATAAATCCATGGTTCATGACGTTTGTCTCTTTGGAGCATAAGCAAAACATTGATACGTAATGTGCAGAATAAGAAAATGTTATCCTTGCTCTTTCCAATCTAAGCGATGAAATTATCTTGCAAGTTTAGCAACCCCTGATTATTTCCGATTGCAAATTTTGCATGGCCATCTGAATATTCTTCTCATGCCAAAAAATTAGGAATTTGTCGACGGAATTATTTGTAGTGTCCTGAATTTGATTCTAAAAGAATTAAAAAGTGCAGATCTAAGATATCTTATTCTGTAATTTTATGAGAAAATAACATGTTTATATGATGTAATAAAGAGAATACCTTTTAAATCAAGCTCATCACCTTGTGTTCGTCCCTTGTTAGACGCCAAAGTCAATGTCATTTTATCTTGCTCAGAGCTCGTTAAGAGAGCGAGTTCAGAGGCAGTTTGAAGAAAAAATACCATGTTAAAGATAATTAATACTCCCGCTGAAACGAAAAGAGTCCAAAATATTACTTGTCCGAAGATCCTGCGAGTTGATCTCTTTACAACCATGACTGTGTTTCAAAACCCATTCAAGTTACGGCCACGTTCGTTGGTGAATTTAACGCATCAAAAATAAACTTTCTCGTACTTCTCCCTGAAAACGGAACAGCAATATATCACTGCCAAGTACCAGAAAAATTGAAATGATCGACGAGCGGAGCTGTAGATATCTTCAACCTAACGCTGCTAGATTTCACTCATAATTTGAATGCACTCCAGTATTGACGCTTCTCGTTTTCTGACGTTTCGCTGTTCTGCATCACCCAAGGATCGGTCGGTTACGAAACCCCAAAACAACCAAATAT